TCTAACTAGACACATCATTATTTTTTAACTTGAAAGGATCTATAAAAATATAATTTTCTGCCTTTATTTATATTATCTGTATTTATCATTTGTGAAACTAGGAACTTAAAAGTTATCAAATGGGACACATTGTTCCAGACACAGTTATACCACATACACTTTCTTTCTGCAAAGACAACCAGCAAGCCCTGTGCACAATCTTGAGACTGCACCACCTTGATTTTCATTTTCATAAAAGAAAAACACCCAAGCCATTAGAATAAATGTGGGAACAGCTAACTAATGCTGGAAATTAAATCCATCTGTCCATCCATGGTGTCATTACATTCGAGGTGCTGAAATTGTCTTTATATGATCAAGGAAGCATTATTTTCCTCTCCTGTTCTAGACCTAACTTCTTGCAGGTTTATGCCATCATTTCATCTTGGAAAGGAAGGCTGAATGACTTGTTTGCTATGCTTTATTTCTGTTTTCAGAGAGAGTAAAACAACCCAAAACCAAAAACAAACAAGAATTAAAGAATTACTACCTTGAAAATCAAAGGTAGCACTTGCGGGCTGGCATTTCTTTCCTTTTGTATACAGTATTCAGTATGACCATTTCAGGTCATTTTCCAAGCTGTTACTTCCCTCTTCCCTTCCTTACATTCATACACATTTCCAGCTTCTCATACTTCCCTGTTTCTCCAATCACCATAATTCTGAAAGCTTTTCATTACATATTTATAGAAGAAACAGAAGGAATAAAAAAATGGGGGAGGAAAAAAAGCATTTGAAAAACTATATTGGGCAGAATTCCTGAAGAACCCTCCTTGCGTGGTTGGAGAGCAGCCTGCCTTCAATATGTTGCCGATCCAAGGTGTTCCACGTGTCAGTCGTTTCGTTTTGTTCCTCTACTATTCCCTTCAAGGGCCTGGCTCACTCCAAAGACCAACACTGGGGAATCTTCTCTTTCCCCTTCTACCTGCACATTTACTTTTCTCTCCCAAGTAAAAAGTATCATGAACGCAAAGCTGTGAGTTGCTTCCAGGACTCACTTCAGGAACATTATGGACTGAAATATATTCTCTATTTCTCTTTTCTCCCTGAAATTGTTTATTTGTTTCCAAGTGCTGAATTACCCTACTTGGAAGCTTGCTGGAAACACAGGATACTTCACCACCCTGGGAACTAAGCCATGCCTGAAGCAGAGCTCTGCCTACTCCTCCAGACCTCCTCAGGAGAATCTGCTCTTCCGAGCTGCTGCACTTGAATGAAATGGTGGTTCCCAACTCCTCACCAATTCACTGTGTACTTGGCAGCCCTGCCTCTTGCAGTGCTCAAAGCTACGTTTTCATCAGGGTATTTTTTTTTTCAGAGAAACTCAACACACAGGAAAGCTCCCCAGGATTTCTCATCTAGCCGAGGGTTCAGTTCTGTGAATTCACAGGCTTATTTCAGCAGGGGATATGGTTCTTGCTTGATCAAATTTTGCCTACTACAAATGCAGGCAGCTATCTGCTGATGAGCCGTCTGTCAAAACACCAGTGATACTCCTGTCCTTTTGGAATTTCTCATAGAATCTCGTAATTTCTGAAAAAGAAGTCACTATGGTTTTAAAAACCTTAAAGATTTCCTTTCTAATATAAAACTATTTTTGGAGATGTCTGCTCAGGAAAACATCACCTGAAACACTGAACACTGTGTAACAAGTGTAACAAGAAGTATAACAAAAGAGCTTCACTTCAATAATCTAGATATGAGAGAAAAGAATCGGCCTCTGCAAAAAGATCATTTCTCATTTTTATCACTTAATTCATGAAGGATCTGTGCTTTGCCATGCTCCTTTTTCCCACAGAAATCTCATAGGCATTACTAACATGGATTCCTTTTATACAGTTTTCCAGTCTCTAAATGACAGTTTTTAAGAGAAAAGAAATAATGAGTGAGCAGCGGGGATATGTTTGATATTAAAAATATAATGCTGACATGTGGTCCTAACACTTGCTGTAAAAGAGATGCTGGAGTAAATGAATCCGTCCTCATGACAGTCATTTATGGTTAGCATGGGAAGGAGGCCGTGTTGCTGCCACTGCCACCTAACCTGGTCTCCTCGTCCTCAGTGCCCATGTCCATGACAGTGACCGCAATCCTCACACCAGCCGTGGACAGAAGGACTCTGCTTCTGGTGACCTTGCTCCCAAACTGGGTGTGAAGAAACGCAAAAGGGCAGATACCAAATGGGAAGTTCCTCTCTGGTGAAGCAGAGCAGTCCAGTAACTGCCAGAACTGATGGAGCAGCAGGACTGACCAGGGGGAATGCAAGGGCAATGCTCACACTGTCTCCTTCACGGACGGAAGGGCTCCACATGAAAACCTCTTCCCAAATTAAAGTGCAAAGACCGAGACCCTGAAGAGGTGTTTTTAATTAAATGCAACATCACTAAAGCATCCATGTTTCAAAGTGAAAAGACACTCTCGCCCAGGGACCACTAATCAAATTCTGTTGGTTACTAGGATTTTGTCCATCTCAGGCTTTTATTTCTGAATTAAAAACAAATACCTGAGTCAATTCACTTGATCTCTGGTCATCACTAAATCTGTTCATCAGAACTATCACTGAATGCAAAATAGAATATAGATGCTCCTAAGTCCCACAGGACTTCCACAAAACTTCTACAAAGACAAGGTTACTGCCAGGAAGACTCTCAAGAGTATGGACTTTCTTAAGGGAAATCCTTGAGGAAAAGGTGGAGAAAAAGAAAGGGGGGAAGGGGAATTCAGAGGAACCAATGTCCTCAAACAAGGCATCCAGTCACATTCTGAGCATGAAGAAAAAATCTTAATTGTTACCTCCATAAACCTGGCATCGGTAAAGAGGTCAAAGAATGGAAGAACAGAAACTACTTCAGGAATATAAAACTGAAGGGGAACACTCATTACTCACTGAAGTTAGGTCCCTGCCCTTTTATGCAGCCATGATGCTTTCATAAAGCAAAGCACGCTTTATTCTGAAAGCATTTCATGCTTTTCTTCCCATTCTTCCTGTTAGGAGGCTGCTGCAGAACCTCTCCTATCTTATTTCCATCCTAATTTAACTCATGACTCTTCTCTCTCCCTTATGGTTTCTTCCATGTTTTATTTACAGAGACTATAAATGCTCTCTGCTATTAGCTACTGAAATAAACTAAACATACTTTATTCCACACTACCACCCCATTCACACTAGCAATTCTTCTCTGCATTGCTTCTGAGTCAAAAGTAATTAGAAGCTGCACACAGGTTAACGTTACTTGGCACAACAGCTTTAATACTGTCTTATCTCTGTGGACTTAAGCAACTTGTCCAGCTTAGAATTGTGTATGTCTTTTTTTAAGGTATATCAAAGGAGGCAATAATAATAATAATCTGTTGACCAGACCTGTCTCTTCCTTTGTCAGTTACACCTGACCAATCTTCAGCAGAAATTCATGGTCTTGTTCTGTAGGAGCCTCGGCATACTGGGGGCCTGCAGTTTACTCCATATCCGTATCTTCTTAATGCTATCTAGTGCTTTCCAGGCAGTGTTTTGCTTCTCCTGCAGGCCTCTGCAACAGCAGCGAGTATTTCCTCTAGTCCCAAACCATTCATGAGATACTAAGCAGCCTAAGGTGGGTCTGAAGACATCTCCCCTCCTTATCTCCCCTGTTGTGAAAGTTCATTAGTACACAGGCACACGAGTACAGCTCATTAGCTCCATCCACAAATTTCATTCCCCAGATGACAATTCCTGCACAAATCTCAAAATCCCTCAGTACAACCTGCATTTCTACCACCTGGAGAAATGCTGTATACTTCATACATTACTTAGGTTGTATTAACAAAATCACAGGGTTATTTTCAGTCTTGTGGTAACGTTATTTTTAATATCAAACCTTCATTTGCTATTTCCAGTTCACATAATATTGTCCAAAGTATTATGAAGGTTGAAAGACCTTGTGACCAGACATGTGATTTCAGGAGCTACTGTTATCCTTAGATACTTGGTTTTGTTCCAACATGTAATTTTCAAGTTCTTCAACTCGAAGACAAACTAAAATGAAATATTTTCTTTTCCATGTCCTCAATCCCATTAGACTCTTCTTGCTTCTCCCCTCATCTCTTCATCCATTTTCATTAAGGAAATAAAAATTCATCTAACTCAAGTAATAAAAAGAAAAGAAATAAAAAGAAAAAAAAAAAACATAATGCTCAAAGACAATATCAGAAAAGCTCTATACCAAACACCCCTTTATGAAGCTATGCAGTCACTTTTTGTATTATTTTAATGCAAATTTCAAACATTCCACATGGTATACAAGGCCTCAGCTGCCCACCTGACAACTGCATCCATGTAACAGAATGAACCTCAGACCTGAAGCTCAGCTCACTACGTGGGTCCAAGACAACTGCAGGCCCTGCTGTTGCCTGCTGGCATCCGGACAAACTACAGTTTAAAAACCCTTCACAAACTCTTGAGGAGTTGCAGCAATTCCCCTGCCTCTTTTAATGAAGAAAGCCACAGAGGAGTTTCCCTCTGGAGGACTCCCAGCCTTTCCTGGGAGTAGAAGGAATGGCCTATTGAGCCTACACTGCATTTATAGTATTCCCTGAAGTAGCTGTGAAGCTCCTTATGCTGAAGCAGGACGGAAATGTCTGCAATGCTGACATATTTAAGCACCAGGCTGTACAGAGTCTAAAACAAGAGTATCAGCTGTGTTCACTTCTGCCATTTTTAGCTGAGCTCAGAAGAAACACTCTTCCATCATATTTAAATACCTTCATCCTATTTACTTCATTCATATTGCTGTCTTTATAATTAACATAGAAAGCATACACAGACATTGGCAAGTTCACTGAGCATGGATGCAGTGATACATTCCTGTCTCTAAAGAGGTGACCACCATTAGGAAATGGAGGTATCCCGTGAGGAGACACCTGGTTTCCCTATACCAATGTCACATTTCAGCGGGTGAGAGGGAACAAGGAAGAGGATGACCTTACCTTTCCTACATACTGCGGATCTGGTCCCATGTGTTCTTCTAAAACAAAGAACTGATTCCACACCCATCCGCGCTTGGGACGATGATGCACTTCTGTTTCACCTTCCACGTGTTTGGTTTGGTTTCGAGTCACCTTGATGGAGCCATGGTGAGCAGCTCCGTAGCACCTCTGCACAAAACAGAGACAAACTAGGACTGGGCAGATACAAGACGTACTTGTAATTCTCATGGTAGGAGAAACTTCCTGGTTCAAGGTTTTCTTTCTCTGGTCTCTTTCAGCTGTAATCCTTTAATAAGGTCCCAGGATGGAAGGTGAAGCCTGGTTCAGAAACACAGTCCAAAATGTTTTTTTCTGCTTGTTCATGGTTTAGCTGCCCATTGGGGGAAAACTCCAGCTATATTTACATTATGGAAAGCTGACTGGAAAAAAATGATACTTCTTCTGGGGTCTTCACAACAGCGTTCCACAGCCGACCATTTTCTGTCTAGTAGGGAAAGAAAAAAAAGCCACTTACTCATCACTAAACCCAGCAATTTTCAGCTTTTTGAGCTGAGATGATACAGTCACAGCTGTACTAACTAATCCCTCTCACAGTAACTAAAATTTCCTTTTAGTCATCGTGTTTTCTGATTGTTCTTAGTTAAGTGTCTTAGAAATCTGCATGTCTTCCAAGCCATGGTAAACATCTGCAATGAATTATTATAAACTGGATGTTCCAGAACAGTCCATTTGGTTTTTTGCTTGCAAATCACTGACCTGGTCTGGAAGTAAAATAAAATTACTACTACTGTTATGAGACCAAAAGCAATTGATATATCAAATGAGTTCTTGGTTTTACCATACACTGTACGGACACTTTAGGATTGTGGAAAAACAACACAAAACAAAACCAAAAAATACAAGGCTATGATTGGTTTGGAAAGAAAACCTCTGAAATGGGTTTAGAGTCTGAGTCAATATTATGGAGGAACTTTGGTCAAAACATGCATTTTTACCCACTGTGTAAATTAAGTAATTTACAAACAGTATTGCACTGGATCTTCACAAAATTATTTCATACTAACAGAAATTTCAGATACTGATATTTAGATAACCAGTATTACTCTTTGCAAAAGTTCCTGAATTCCCAGCTATATGACATTTTTTCAACTTCAAAAGAGAAGTTTTATACTACAGTAACATTTAAAATACGAAAATGCACACATAAGTTGATGCAGTGCTTAAGCAGAAGTACTTTTAAAAATATAACTCTTGAATCTCAAGCAAAATAATTACTCTTGTAAAACAGTTTGTTCAGTTATTTGAACACATCAAGGATCAAGCAGTCAAGGACTACCTTGCAGTACTGGCTTTGTTTAAATAACAGAAAGACATTAAAAAGTTATGTGAACAGAAACATTATGAAATTAATTTTGTTTGTAAGTTCCACGGGAACACAACAGAACAAAATCTTCACGGAAAGACCAAGTAAGAAATGAGAAATCAAATGGAAAAGTACTGCGGTGGAAGCTCACCAGCCTCACCAACTTCTCTTTGCTTTGCAAGGTCTTTTTCCTTACCCTCATTCCAAAGCCACAACAACACTGGAAGCCTGACCATACTTTCTCACATATTCACCTAAGAAGAGTTTCTCATCACAGTAAGGAAACATTACTTCAGGACTATACTATAATTAGGAATACCCATAAAGGAAATATTCCCTATTGCTGTTACCAAGTTCAGGACACTGGATAGCATGTTGGTCATGAAAATCACAGCACTCTAAGGCACAGCAAGAGCACCAGGCTCCTGATAACGGGGGTGGGAAATTCAAACAGAAACTCCTTACAGGAAATTTGTAGACATTCAGTTTTAACTTGCTTCCCACTTCCACTGCAATGTAATCTCCCCTGAAATGCCCATAAAGACCAAGCCACTGGACTCTCAAAAGCCTCCTATCCCATGTCAAAATAAATTTATAGAATTAACTACCTGTGATTTGACAAGGATTTTCCACAGCTAAATGTTATATGAAATGTAGCTAGGGCAGGCACAGAATCCAGTAGTTCTGTTTCTAACCTCGTGTTTGCCTCCCTCTCTTCCCCTGCCTTTCCGCATCCTTTCCTGATTCCTGCTGGAAATCAGCTTGTATCCTGAGGTATGTGATTTCCTCCTAGAGACTTCTATATTTTCAGAAGAGCTATTTAAGTAGGTGCAAATTGTTATATTTCACATGTACGTTAAAATTAACCACTACCTTACAAAATGAAAAAGCCTATGCTCTCAAGCATTATTTCTTTTTTCTAATCTTGGGACATGCTTTGGTGTAGTATAACCTATAAGCAGTGCCCAAGAAATTTAAAAATACTATGTAAATAGTATATTGTGTTTTTTTTTAAGAAAAAAAGATATTTTCTTATTAAAGAAAAGATATTTGAAGCCACTATTACAGAACTTTCCTTTACAGAAATTTGGGGATTTTGTTTGTTTGTTTTGGAAAATTTTTACCTCATCAAAGAATAAATGCAAATGAGTATAGCAGATACTAAAAATCAAGGTTTACTATCCAGAACTTGGTCGTTCTTGTTCCCTCCCCTGAGTCATAACTTCGTTAATAGCAACTTCACTAACAGCATTCTGTAAACTGTATTACTATATTATTAGCTTGGCTTTTATATGACTTAGAACTCGTAAGAAATGCCAAGAGCTTCTTCATCTGAAAAATACCTGTTCTTGCTAGCATTAGCACAGAAGACATGAACTTCAGTTTGGACCAAAGCTATCAATTACTAGATCGTCCGCTAAATGTTCCCCAAACATTGTTCCCCAAACAACAAAATCAATTTTTAAAAATTCTTTATTCTGTACAAATGAAAGAAAGAAAGAAAGAAAGAAAGAAAGAAAGAAAGAAAGAAAGAAAGAAAGAAAGAAAGAAAGAAAGAAAGAAAGAAAGAAAGAAAGAAAAGAAAGAGAGAAAGAGAGAGAGACAACATAGAATTCTGTGTGACGCCTGGAGAATCATTGCAGTAGTAAAATTGATTAAAACTTGAACAGTTAATAAAGTGGAAGGATTTTTAGTGAACAGTCTTTACAGGGTTTTAGCTTTGGTTAACTCCCGTTAAAATCAAAGACTAAAGAACCATCAGTAGAAAACTCCTTATTGTTGGTTGTCCAGCACCATTCTATTAAAAGTCTAGAGCAAAAATTCATTTAAAAGACAACAACAACAGGAAACTCCATAATAATCCCTCTCTCGTCCATTCCTCAAAGCCAACACTATGGCATGAATTTGCCTACAGAGGGGAAGTCCAGGTGGAAATAGCCGGACTGGTTAACAAAGCAAAGATCACAAACCAAAGTAGCGATGCGCTCGAGCTGTGAAGAACTCCACAAAAGGACTGAATATAGTGAAATCCTTTTTTTACTGAGTTACTGGAAAGCTAACCAGCTGAGATGCTGTATGCTCAATGCTCTTGCTTGGCACTTTCAAATCAAGTGTCCTGCTTTATGCTTTTTTGTTCTAGCGCTGTATGCGGCAGCAGAACAGACTTGTATTACTGCTATCTCCTGGGAGCCCTCATGAAAATGAGCTGTATGTCTCAAGAGATTGTCAGAGCGAGATAAAATTAAAATAAATAATTAAATATGATGAGGTGGCAAAGTTCCACCAGCACTGCTGGAAGTCATTAGAGCAGAGTAGTCGCTGCTTAGTGTGGAAACAAGTCTCTGTAATGAATTCCCAGGACACCAGGGTAAGCACAGGGATGCAAAAAGGGGATGCTTCGCCGTCATGAGGAGGCATGTCCTTCGCCGAGGAGCAATTCTGGCAGCACGGCAAGAGAGTCTTGTCCTGCATCTCCAGCTCCCCCACCTCCACGATCACACATTTTGATTCATTTGAATGATTCAGTTTTGCAGGTGCACGTTCAGCTCGGCTCTGCACATCTTTATTCACAACCCTCGGGGACCCTTTTTAGTCCCATGGTGATGGAACGACAATTAGTTATGGAACTTGTGATAAATTGCATTTCTCATACACTTTTTGACTTCCTCCTCTGCCCTCTGCCCTCTAGACTTCTCCCTGTCAGAACAACTTCTTCCATTACAAAAATCCAACCTACTTCAAATCAACATCATTATTCATATGTATAATCAGCCAGAAAAATACTTCTCTATTTTTTTCTGTATTCCCAGTGCTTATTCTGCTGCTAATGCTACGTGTTTCTGCACTGCAGAGATAATGGCGAAGTGACCTGAAGAGCAAGCACAGAATATTGGGCTAACATCAGAATGAGAAATGGGATATTATTTTTTTGTTTCATCCTGCTGAAGAACAGGTTGATAAATTGCCCCGAGAAAATTTCTAAGTACGTGGAGGAAAAGGCTTCATCCAGAGTTGATCTCTATTCTCTTTTCCCAAGGCTGGCAGAGCTGCATGATGGGACTATACCAGAAAAGATGAAACATGAAGTTTTTCTCAGCTTGTGTGGTACAAAATGCAATATACAACCGTCAGCACTTCGTAAGAAGCAAAGCCTCCAAACTGTTTCAAAAGTATTTAAAAACAGTATTAAAGGTCATCTTGCCTCTGTGTGTATAAGCGGCAGTACCCTAGTTATATCTAAAAGCTAAAAGGGGAAAACAATTACGTAGTTAATCCAGAAGTCTTTAAAGTAGTTAAAGAGCAATTTCAGTAACTACAGATGCTTTGTCACTCTAGCTCTATATTGACAGACCTTTCAGGAATGCTGGAAAATTGACTTTTTTTTTTTTGGCCATAGTATAAAGAAACTTTGGTTAACTTGCAAGATGACTGCATCAGGTATCATGCCACTAAAATTTTGGCTAAATATATGTATATCCATCCATATACATGTAAATATGTATTCCGGTTCCAAAAGCTAATACAATCTGTTTCTTAGAGAGACCAAAAAGAGAGCATTTGTCACTTTTTCAAATGACAACAAACTCCAGTTGTGGCTGTACTGTGGCAAAAGTTATTATTTCTTGTGTTTCATACTCACATAGAGCCTTTAGGTAATTATCACCTCTACTAACTAAAAAGAGAGAGACCATGGTAATGTCAAACTAAAGAAAAATAACTACAAAAGAAGTCTGCCTTGCAAAATAAACACTGTTCTTTCATATGAAGTAACCAAAATTCTATTGTAGGGAGAAAAGGAGGGGGGGAAGGCAAGAAAATAAAACACAGGCACTCAGACATTATAAACAGCTAAGTAATAGAATAAAATTTAGAATAAGATAAAACAAAGACACTGAAAAATTACTGAAAAGAATGAATCAAGGTAGCGAAGCAAACTGGAAAGTTCCAAGTGGAAACAGCTGCAGCTCTGGGAGCTGCTGTGTGGAGCTATGACTTTTCTCCCAGACCATCAAGCCAGTGTCTGAGAAAAAAGCAGTGCAATTTTGGTGCAAGGCAGCACGAACAGTTAACACAGCTCAACAGAGAAACGTTAGCATACAGAAAACCTTTACTGAAAATAA